TTAAAATTTTAAAATTCCTCCCTCCTACCAATTCGATTCCATTAAAATATGGATTTACTTTTCCTATTAAAAGATAACTTTGAAAATAATGAGGATGTCACCAGGTTTATGACGATAACCGGACGGCGATCGGAACCGTTAAATCGGTTCGGCGGGTTCCGATCTCAAGGAGCCTTGCCACCGCAAGCAGGGTTACGGAGATGTATGAGATAGAGATGCTCAAACAGGAGATAGCTATTGACGAGCATAAAATACCTCTTGCTGATCTTTATCAAAGGTAATTAATAACTACCCCCACCAATACTTTTTATAAATGTAGTTTCTTTTTGAGCCCTTAACTCATACGTTTAGGGTTTGGGTTTATCTCAGGGTTGCTCCCTGGACTAATATGAGACCAATTATATAGTAAAAAAACATCATTAATAATTTTACTTCTTCTTGCATCTGGAATTATACTGTTTTTTTTTTCTGTGATAATCATGTGATTCATAATTTTCTTTACTAAAAATTTGAAAATAAGAAGATAAACTTCTAGTTCTGTAGGTTTTAAAAACTAGGTTGCAACCATGCAAAAAAACATACTCAAAAAACGCCAGGGTTGGCGACCCTGTTAACTAAAATTAAACTTGACTTTAAAACACATTTTCAAATAAAAATGTTTGGGTACATTTTTTTTATAAACCCTCAACCTGAATTTGTTTACATGTTACTCAAATGTTTTTCCCAAAATGCTGCAGTAAACGAAATGTTTACTCTGGTAGAAGATTAAAGATATAACTTTATTAACGAATAACAATCGTTTAGTCAACAAACAATCGTTTTTCGTTTTCGTGGTTTAGTTTAAAACCTAGGTTGCATATTTCAATTGGAATCTGAACACTTGCCACAAACTCTGATTGTCTAAACTCTGATCTCGGCAACCATCTGATGGTGTAGCCCCATGATATTTCAAGCCTAGACTACAGTAATAACTAGCAAACTCTGTAATAAGAAGACGACTTTTAAGTCAAGTTTTAACTTTAAATTGTTCATTGAGCATGAGACACAGCTATGGTACATTGTAAACATTTTACTTTCTTAGTGATTTAATAAGTTATAAAACTATTTGCTTTGTAACAACTTCAAATACGTATCGCTATAAAGCCGTTTTTCTATTTCAGAGTTTTCTGGTTATCACTGTATTTGGTGTAACAAAATTCATCTAGATTTAAATATCAAATGTCTTTTACGTCAGATTGCAAAGATATAGGAATTAATAGATATACAATTTGAATTTGAATTAGAAGAACCATGATGTTGATATGTTTTGAGATTGTCACTCTAATTATCCGATTCATATGATTCACATGTTTTCCTTAAATAGCTATTAGGCTATTCAATATTCATCCAAGCGCTGTAGATAGGATATATATTATCCTGGATATATATTTGGTTATTTTTTCAAATATATAGGATATATATTTGGTTATTAGCTTAGCCTTGATTTGAAAAAGGAACTGAGTTTTTGCGCAAACCCGAATTTTTAAACCTAGTGTTTTAAATCTTTTATATTTTAGACTTGGATTATTTTATTTAACACAGTTTGCTTTTAAATTTAAGCTAGTGACAAAGACTCAACTAAGGAATTGAGTCATTGCCACAAACTCAAATTTTCTTCTCCCTATATCTTTGCAACCTGATGGTGTAAAACTTTGATATTTCAAACTTAGATTATTTGATCAAACAGAACTCATAGTTTGAAATATGTAAGGTATACAACATTTGGTTACAAAGATATAGTAATTAGAAAATCAGACTCAATTTCTTTCACCTTAACATATTTGCTTTGAACAAAAAATATGTAAAAAATGTGAACTTTGTAAAAATAAAAAATGAAAATTTCTAAAGTAAAATCTAAATTCTGTTATAATCATTATTCATTTCCCTCAGAGTTGAATTTAAATATTACAGTGCCGAAAAAATCATTAATTTTTATAAATTTCAAAGTTTTAAAAACATTTTTTTGGAAACTCCAACTAATAAAAATCGTGACGTACAACAGTAAAATAATTCACTGGACTTTTTCTCATTTTTTTAATTCTCTATATGTAGATATAGATTAGATATATTCACCGGTATATAAATGCGGAGTAGTTTCTTTATTTCGACCACGTTAACAAAATTGGCTAATCTTTAAACAGTGCTCTATAAAATTATTTGGAATACAAAGACGACTTTTTTAGGCTGAGTACCGACCCGTTCACCGGTATGAGCAGTCAGCAGGTGGAAGTTGCTTTACAGAGGGATGGAGAGAATAAAATAACAACACCAATAGGAAATCATTTTCATAGAAAACTTTTAAAAATTATGCGCCATTAAAAGAATGTCATGAATTTAACGCAGTTTCTATAATGAAAAATGTTAGATCAAATACTTTTGTATTAACCGAAAATAAGTTTTAATCAACACTTAAAAAAAACATTTTTACGTTGCTGCAGAAAAAAACTAACACAGCATAATTGTCATATTAAAAGCATTTTATTATAGTCAAAATTAATTGTGCAAGTTATTTTTCCCAAATATCGTAAGAAGTCCCCTTCAAAGTTTTTTTATATTGAATCTGTTTGTGCACTGTAGAGCCTCCGACCTGGGTCAGGTTTTGTAAAAACCTGTTTGGCGGATTTTCCCTCCTTCTCTGGTTGGGAGCTTTCCTCTCCTTCGCGCATTATTCCATCGAGACAGGAGTTCATAGTGAAGTTTCACCGGAGAACTTGGTATTAGGTAATAGACAAGATGAGTTCATAGTGAAGTTTCACCGAAGAACTTTTTATTAGGTAATAGAAAGTAGTAAATAGTGAAGTGTCTCCAGAGAACTTTGTATTAGGTAATAGAAAGGAGTACATGTTGAAGTGTCCCCAGAGAACTTTGTATTAGGTAATAGACAGGAGTACATACTGAAGTGTCCCCAGATAACTTGGTCTAGGTAATAGACTGGAGTTCATAGTGAAGTGTCCCTAGAGAACTTGGTATTAGGTAATAGAAAGGAGTACATGGTGAAGTGTCCCCAGAGAACTTTGTATTAGGTAATAGACAGGAGTACATGGTGAAGTTTCACCGAAGAACTTTGTATTAGGTAATAGAAAGGAGAAAATAGTAAAGTTTCTGCGGAGAACTTGGTATTAGGTAATAGAAAGGAGTACATACTGAAGTGTCCCCAGATAACTTGGTACTAGGTAATAGACTGGAGTTCATAGTGAAGTGTCCCCAGAGAACTTGGTATTAGGTAATAGAAAGGAGTACATATTGAAGTGTCCCCAGATAACTTGGTACTAGGTAATAGAAAGGAGTACATACTGAAGTGTCCCCAGAGAACTTTGTGTTAGGTAATAGAAAGGCTTACATACTGAAGTGTCCCCAGAGAACTTTGTATTAGGTAATAGAAAGGAGTACATAGTGAAATTTCAACGAAGAACTTGGTATTAGGTAATAGAAAGGAGTACATACTGAAGTGTCCCCAGAGAACTTTGTGTTAGGTAATAGAAAGGAGTACATAGTGAAATTTCAACGGAGAACTTGGTACTAGGTAATAGAAAGGAGTACATAGTGAAATTTCAACGGAGAACTTGGTACTAGGTAATAGACTGGTGTTCATAGTAAAGTTTCACCACAAAACTTGGTACTAGGAATAGACTGGTGTTCATAGTAAAGTTTCACCACAAAACTTGGGACTAGGTAATGGGCAGGACAATTTATGTAAAGTAAGCCATGGCATCTTTACAAAGGAATTGAGGCTTTGTCACAAATTTTCTAATCCCTATACTTTTGCTACCTAATTTCAAACTTAAATTATTTAATCTAATAGAATTTATAGTTTAAATGTCTTATGTCAACGTCATTGGGTTGCAAAGATATAAAGATTAGAAAATCAGAGTTTGTGGCAAAGACTCAACTCGTTTTCTGGAATTAAAAACCTGGGGTAGGGGGGGGGGGCTTTAGTAAATCCTACTTTCTTTAAGTCCCAGATATGAGTAAATGCAAATAGATTCTAGTACAATATTTGGCAACGTAAAATTTGTACACTCTCAGTACAGCTGTATTCTGACCTCACATTTGTCAATTCCGTTTTTTTCAACAAAATTATAAAAAAAATTGATAATTTTCGAATAAAGTTCTTATCTTACAGTAAAATAACTGCAATTTTATGTGTTCTTTATTTTCTGTTTTTACATTTTTTTATTTAATCTTAGAAAACATGTCAACTAACGTAAGAAAATTTTGTTTTCCTTATTATATAAAGACACTTGTGACGTCGTGTATGATTTGTCCATTTCTCTGTTGTCATCTATTGTACTTGATAATCTATTTGAGTAAATGTCATTGGAAATAAAGTCTTGTGTTTTAAAATTTTAAAATTCCTTGGACTTTTAATTACCAATTTTATGAATTTATTTCTTGGAGGTTGCCAAGGAAGAAATTTTCGGCACCTGATGGTGGCAATCAATTTTTGCTTCTTCGTCTTCGTTTCTAATAGTTTTTGAGAACTTTTTAAATTTTAAATTTTGTATTCGATCGTGTTTTTTTTAAGAAATTGAACCGGGAAACATAAAGAAGCACAAAGCAATTTATTTTTGCCAATTTATAAAATTTTGAATTTATTTTCTTTTTCAGGTTTTGCTCTGATTATCGTTATTCTTATCACAGGGATATTCTCTTTCATACAGGTATATTTATTCATTTACAGATCTCACGGAAAAATATGTCAGGTTTTTGCCAATTACTCCTGTGTACAACTTTGATATTTCAAACTAAAACAATATTTGTCAGATTGTTTAACTGAGTTTCACTTCAAGCTGGGAAAGTCATTGACTGGGAATGCTCTACTAAATTCGTACCTTCCCGGCTCTATTGGAATTAGTTGCGCTCCATGATTGGCTTTATTTCAGGGCTATGTAAATAATATATTTGTTTTTAGTTTTCATTCTTTTTTTTGTGTGAGAGCTTGCCCGTAGATTTAGCCTGCTTATAGTCTCATCAATTTTTAAGACAAGGTCGACTTTGAAGTGTCACAACGCCTTGGGCTTAAATTTTACCGTTCTAATTGACTTATGCTTTTCTGTAGTCCTTTAGATGTACATCATAGCACAAATTAAAGCACTTGTTGTTTCCTTTGGTGGTAAAGAAGTAATTGGCAAAATTCTCATCGATTTTTGTTTGAGAGCTTGAGACTTTTAAATCACATTGCTTGCAATCTTTTAATGACTTTTTGTATTTAGGAAGGAAAAGAATCTGAAATGAGACAAGAGTATAACAGATTAATACCTAATGAAGCTACGGTTATCAGGTATAAAGATTCACCAGGGGAATATTTTACAGAAAATTTATAACAATTGATGACTTTTCAGAAAACTTTTCTATTTTTAGGGATGGCGAGGAATATGGGTTGGAAGCAAGAGAATTAGGAAATTAGATATTTGATATGAAATGTTTAAAATAAATTCCTTCGAACGAACTGTAACAAAAATTGTATATAAGTGTTTTCTTTTGATTTCCTTGAATTTCAAATTTGATTTTGGAATATGTTTTATTGTTTTATCTGAAAAATCATCTTGAAAAAACTTAAATGTTTAAAATTAAAGTGGTTGGAGACATTGTGCTTATTAAAACAGGAGATCAGGTATTTTCATTATTATTATTATTATTATTATTATTATTATAATTATTATTATTATTATTATTATTATTATNACGTCTGTACATATTATATTATATACAGGGTATTGTGATTAGTACTGGAGATCTGACATAAACCATATTATATATTATATACAGGGTATTGTGATTAATACTGGAGATCTGACTGTGGTTGGAAGGTTAGCAGCGTACAGTGTTGATCATGAGAGAAAGGATACTCCAATATCTCAGGAATACAATTCATTACAACAATTTACAATGCATTTATATACATTGAAATACATTCTAATACAGTCCAATACAATACAATATATTCAAGTACATTCCAATACATTCTAAGATATGCTAGTACACTTTACAATTTACATTTTAATCAGTTAGATGGAAAATATTATTTGCTTTTGAAATATTATAGTTTTATGACATTAATTCGACTTACTACGAAGATATTAAGGTTTATTTGCTGCTGTATGAAATCTTACTAAAATTTTAAACTAAAATAAAAGTTTTCATCATTGTATTGATATAAACGCCGAACTCTAGAATATTTTTTATAAGTTTATATAAACTGGATTGTAACTTAGGAGATAACTAACTTTATGCACGTGATCACCATGACAGCTTGCTGCGCCGGGGTCTTCTTCTTCGTAATCGCTTTCCTCGTGGGGTACTACTGGATCGACGCGATCCTTTTCATGATCGGGATAATCGTTGCTTGTGTCCCAGAAGGAATGTTAGCAATTGTTACAATCGCGCTGAGGTACTATCATTATTATTATTATTATTATTATTATTTTTATTCTCCAGATTCCAGCTGATATTCGTATACTTGAGTACAAAAATTTTAAAGTTGACAACTCTTCCCTTACAGGTGAACAAAAATATAAGAACTAAAAAATTGTAATTAAAAAAATCCAGAAACGGAATTTTTTGATAAAACGCTTCCAGATAAAACGCTAGAAACGCTATAATTTGTATATTTGATTGTTTTATTTTTTGTTTAAATTAAAATATGTTAATAATTAAATTTTTGTCTAATTAACCAACAATATAAATAAATTAAGCTAATACATATCTTAATAATCACATTTATTCATAAACATCCTTTAAATTGCTAAATATTCGGATTAAATAATTGTAATTATAATCTGTAATTTAGACAAAAAAGCTGTTTAAGAATAAATTAACTTCTTACATGTAGTATATTTTACAGATTGGCAAACATACACATTTATTTCACTGTAAATTATGCATAAAAAACTACAGCAAATAAAAATCTTATTTTAAAGTTTTTAGTTCATATGAACATTTCAACATTGCATTTTACGTAATTGAATGTTTGAATGCATATACAGATTTTGTAACATTTTTTTATATTTTATCAAAGATTGGCACACATGACATATTTTTGTAGCATTGTAATTAGAGCTGGGAATTCTTGTATTTTCCAATGTTCAAATACTTTTAGCATAATAAAAAACACCCTGAAGGTGTCACGTCAGGAAAATGAGTTGATTCTTTGCCACAAATTGTAAGTTTCTAATCCATATATCTTTGCAACCCAATGTCGTGGACCTAACATTTTTCTAACTATGAATTCTATTAGATCAAATAAAATAGGTTTGAAATATCAAAGGTGTACAATATACAGTTTAGAAAATTTGAGTTGGTAGCTAAGATTTAATTCCTTTTCAGCAAAAGTCGTTTGAATTTTACTCTTAACAGAAACTGTTTTAAAACCTTAAAACAATAATGGCGGAATAGTGAAAATATTAGAATTGTGCAAAATGATAATTAAGTTATAATATATCCCGATGGTTTGAAATAAAATTAAAGACAGATTTAAGTAATTAAAATAATGTTAAAGAACCCCAAACTGCCCCGCGCCGGCCTCAACCCCAAAAGTTGTGTCAATACTGCAGAACGATGATATATTAATTGACCATTTCCAACCTCCCCCCCCCATCCCCGGCTACCCTTTAACATTAAAGTTACGGAAACTTTAGTAAAAATCGTTAAAAAATAGAGTATAACCAATCTAAAAATCAATCCTAATATTATGATATTTTGATAGAGAAGCGTTTTTTTCTTTAATAGTGTTTTATCTGGTAGCGTTTTATGAATGTAGCATCTTATTATGTGGTAGCGTTATATCTAAGTAGCGTTTTAAGAGTTAAGCGTTTTCCTAGTATGACCGTAATTTTATCACTTTAGTTAAATAAGCTATTGAGGTCTAAAAGTTTTGAATTCCTAATATGGATCAAAATAACTTTCAAACATTAAAACTAGAGGAGCTACGAGGCCACAAAGTTGTAACTTTATCCTTACACAAATTAAAAAATAAATGGAAATAGTTGTCGGCAATTATATTTATACAATAAAGACGACTTTTTATTAATGATGCTTTGACCCCTAGCAAGCATTTCTTTTAAATTACAAGTTTACAAGTCAACAAAGAATAGCTTTCGTTTTGCAATTTTACTTTGTTTAAATGAGAAAAGAATAAAGAATTGGCGCGAATTAAAAAGATGCTTAATAATGCCCGTTTTGTGTAAAACCTATATCTTTTTCACAACCCTTAAAACTTATTTGATTTTTTTTAACATTAAGATTAAATCTACACTTTTTATATCTAAAATTTGTTAGTTCACCGTCGAAAAATACAAGAAATATTTAATTCTTTCCTTTTTTTAATTGGGGGGAAATATTCCCACAACCTTTATTTTTGGAGGTTTTTAAATATTTTCTCCTGAAACACTTCATTTGATATGTTTTTGTTATATTTCATAAATGAATAATTATCTACTTTAAAAAATGTTCAAGTGATTCTGCTGTTTGAAAACTTAGTAAAAATCGAAATTGAAATAGAAAGTTGTCCTTATCGTATTGATATGTATGACGACGACTATAATAAAAATCTTGTTTCAGGTGAATCTGAACCTAAATGGCGTTCCTCTCACTTTACCCACGACAATGCTCTTCTCACGGACAATCTTATCTTCTATTCAACCTACTGTGTAGAGGGATGGGCTAAGGTACAGTGGGATCTTATCTTCTATTCAACCTACTGTGTAGAGGGATGGGCTAAGGTACAGTGGGATCTTATCTTCTATTCAACCTACTGTGTAGAGGGATGGGCTAAGGTACAGTGGGATCTTATCTTCTATTCAACCTACTGTGTAGAGGGATGGGCTAAGGTACAGTGGGATCCGTAAAATTGAGTAACAGAAAAACTACATTTAAGCAATTGTATTGGTATTTCATGTTGTAAATCCTATAGTTTTACATGTGGCTTAAAAATAAACTGAAAAGTTAATCTGCACACTGCTGTATTTATTATTTATGTTCATTGGACTGTGTAAAATTATAACTTGAGCTTTATAAACGTCTGTACATATTATATTATATACAGGGTATTGTGATTAATACTGGAGATCTGACATAAACCATATTATATATTATATACAGGGTATTGTGATTAATACTGGAGATCATTATTATATTTCTAGTGTAACGGCTAAAAGAATGTCCAGTAAAAATTGTCTGGTTAAGAATCTCGAGGTACAATTTAAAATTTATGCTGATCATTTATTACTTTAACTTTTTAATGAACAGAAAACATTTTATTGTACAAAAATCCTTTTTTGCTGTCTTTTATTCTTCCATTGCGCTCAGTAATCTGAAATGTTAAAAATACATATAAATTGGTTAATTTAGTCTGTAGAGACCCTGGGTGCTACCTCTGTACTAATCACTGATAAAACTGGAACCTTGACCTGCAACAAGCTGACCGTAGCTCATGTCTGGTTCGATAATCAGATAGGAGAGATAGATACTGCAGCTTTACAGGTAAATCTATAGAAACTGTAGCTTTACAGGTAGTTAGATAGATACTGCAGCTTTACAGGTTGATAGATACTGCAGCTTTAGAGGTAAATAGATAGATACTGTAGCTTTACAGGTAGTTAGAAAGATACTGCAGCTTTACAGATAGATAGATAGATACTGCAACTTTACAGGTAGATGGATAGATACTTTAGCTTTACAGGTAGATATATAGATACTGCAACTTTACAGGAAGATAGATATATACTGCAGCTTTACAGGTAGATATATAGATACTGCAGCTTTACAGGTAGATATATAGATACTGCATCTTTACAGGTAGGTAGATAGAAACTGTAGCTTTACAGGTAGATATATAGATACAGCAGCTTTAAAGGTAGATAAATAGATTCTGCAGCTTAACATGTAGATGTATATATACTGCAGCTTTACAGGTATATAGATAGATATTGTAGCTTTACAGGTAGAAATATAGATACTTTTACTTTACAGGTAGATATGCAGATACTAAATCTTTACAAGTAGATATATAGATACTTCAGCTTTACAGGTAGATAGATAGATACAGCAGCTTTTTAGGTAGATATATAGATAGATAGAATAGATAAATATATAATATCGATTATTAATTAATAATTAACTAATTAATTGATTAATTAGAACCCAGCAATCTCGTTTGACACAATGAACTCTACCTGGAAGAACATGGCCAGGGTTGGGATTCTCTGTAATAATGCGGAATTCGAGGAGGGATCTGCTGGGTCACCCGTTATGCATAGGTTATTCATTTATTCATTTATTCATTTATTCATTTATTCATTTATTCATTTATTCATTTATTCATTTATTCAATATTTATTCAATATTTATTCAATATTTATTCGTTTATTTAATGTAATGTAATGTAAACAAACTGTCTGAATGTAAACAAACTGTGCTAATGTAAACAAACTGTGTTATTGTAAACAAACGTCTGACTGTAATCAAACTGTGTTAATCTAAACCAACTGTGTTAATTTAAACAAACTGTTAAAATGTAAACAACTTTGTTAATGTAAACAAACTTTGTTAATGTAAACAAACTGTTTTAATGTAAACAAACTGTGTTAATGTAAACAAACTGTGTTAATGTAAACAAACTGTATCTCTAGGAGAACTATTGGAGATCCAACAGAGACAGCTCTACTGCGCTGTGTAGAAGCTATAGAGGGAGATGCACAGATGTTCAGACAGATGCACAAGAAACTAGTGCATATTCCCTTTAATCCAGATTCTAAGATACAGGTATACTTTGGTGCACTTTCCCTTTAATCCTGATTCTTAGATACAGGATACAGGTATATTTTCGTGAACTTTCCCTTTACTCCTGATTCTTTGATACAGGTATATTTTCGTACACTTTTCCTTTACTCCTGATTCTAAAATATAGAAACATTTATTTATTTATAATAAATAATATATATAAATAATAATTATCTATCTATCTATCTATCTATCTATCTATATATCTATCTATCTATCTATCTATCTATTTATCTATCTATCTAGGTAAGTGTGCATGAGTGTCAGGACTTTAAGGCTAACGGATATCTCGCCTGCCTTATTGGAACTCCCGATGTTGTTCTCCAGCGCTGCGCAAGCGCGCTGGTCAACGGGCAGGACCGCCGGATTGATCAGGATTACAAGAACGCCTTCTACTACGCCTTGAACGAGATGGCGGGGCTGGGTGAAACGGTTATAGCGCTGGCGGATGCTAGACTTCCTCCGCAGAAGTTTCCACCAGGATTTAAGTTCAATGGACATCAGGTAAAATAAATATTTTTTCAATTCTCTTTTCTAAATGAAATTTTAATCTTATTTTTTAAATTTGCATTCATTAATTATTTTCTATTCGCATTTTGATCTTACGAGTTAATTATTGAGATAATTTTAAAATATCTTTTTAGAACGAATCTAAATCATTAACTTTTTGTCCCTGATATTTTTAAGTTAATTTCATTCATTTCTTTTATTTATTTTTTTTCCATTAATCTATTTAACAGATATCCATCATTTTTTAAAAAGTTTATAGATTTGGTTTTTTTAAATTTTTTTTTTTCATTAATTAATGTTTAAGGTTAATTTCCCTATTAACGGATACCGTCTTCTTGGTCTGGCCTCTATGATTGACCCGCCGAAAGCCTCCGTTCCCGACGCAATCGCCAAAGTACGAGCGGCGGGCGTTAAAGTGATCATGGTAACCGGTGATCATCCGAGCACTGCCGTAGCGATCGCCAAATCTGTCGGAATAATAGGTAAATAATTTTTGTAAATTTTTGCTTAAACGGACGGTTTACGGAATTTCAATTGGCCCTCCATTTATAGATTCATATTAATATTTTAGTTTTTAATAACTGATTATTTTCATTTGGGGGTTCTCTGCTAGAGTGCGCATTTCTTGGTTCTGGAGAAATGAAGAAATTGTTAATATTTTACACTAACAAAACTACGTTATCTTCCACATTATTGATTATTTTATGGTTTCAAGGGTATCATTGTGAATCGGACATGTCCCTCTTTTTTGTTACTTAATTTTGCTTATTTTTGTATAAATTTAAGCATTAAAAATCTTATATAATAATTTAATGAAAATGACTTGAATAATTGCAATTTGTTAAGCTACCAAAGTGTGATCTTTTTAATGAGACGTTTTTTTGCCCTATATTTATTAAAAAAATGTGTAGTCTATATATAAACCTTTCATTTGGATTAAAAGTTTTTTCTTCTTAGGGCTTGAATCTCCTGTGACCTCGGTCACCTTAACCTCTTGCCCAACCTCTAATATCCCTGCTGGTCTCGTGACCGGCGAGGATCTGGAGACCCTGAGCCCCGACCTTCTGGAGGACACCCTCATGAGAACCGAAGAGCTCATCTTTGCCCAGGTCAAGCCGGAGCAAAAACTTCAGATTGTTGAAACCTGTCAACGGCTCGGCGCCGTCGTAACAGTCACCGGAGACGGAATTAACGATGCCGCTGCAATTCGACGCGCGGATGTTGGTATCGCCATGGGTAACGGTGCAGCGTATACTGTGAAGTGCGCTGATATCGTTCTTTTAGACGAAAATTTTGCCTCCATCGTGAGCGGTATAGAAGAGGGACGGTTAATGTTTGAAAACCTGAAAAAGATCTTACTCTACAGCCTTGCAAGTAACGTACCGGAAATGGCCGCTTTTCTTCTCTCTATGCTGGCCCAACTTCCTCTTCCTTTGGGTATCCTCGCGATCCTCTGTATTGACCTCGGAACCGACCTCCTGCCTGCAGTCAGCCTTGCTTTTGAAGAGGCTGAGATGGATTTGATGCGTCATAAACCTAGAAATCCTCTAAATGATCATCTGCTCAGCGAACAGCTTCTATTCCTCTCCTACGGTCAACTTGGGCTTATTCAGGTAAAAGAACAGTTTTAAGGGGATGGGTTGCGAATTTCGAAGAATGTTATAATCAACCAATTTTTCTTCTATACATTTTTCAATTTTGATCGACAATATACTTTCCATGTTCATGTTTTCTTAAAAGTCACATCTTTTGTGTGCAATGTGCAACCCGGCATCTATAAAGTAGTAATATCTTTTCTTTCTTTTTTGTCCATCAGAACTTAAGGGAACCCCGTATACCAAATTGCTTAAAATTTTGATTGGGTAACCAAGAGAATGACATTATCTTGAATTTAAATTTCTTAATTAAGATGGTTGACTGCAAGGTTATAATGCAATGAAAGTTAATTGCAGAGCCCAAAACTTAAGACAGGGTATTGTTCTGAAAACCAGTATTAAAACCCGGGTTTCACGAATGGGGTAAGGTAGGTTTTGTAAATATCAATATTTTTGTTATGAAATACGGTTTTATTCAGTTTGTTTATATTCTCCATTTCTTTCAAATCTCTTAAATCAAAATCTACACAAATGTTAAGACCCCCAATAAGGAAACTCGGGAGTTTTGTCCAATAATACTCTTTTAAATTTCGGGCTCTGTTGTGCATACTCTGCGTACATATTGAAACCAGTTCTCTCTGGGAGGAATTTACAAGAATAGATGCATCAGTGTTCGTTTAGTATCCGAGGAGGTTACAAGCATTTAATTTAGATAATTTTGATAATAAACATAATATTTTCCTATGACCAGAATATTTCATTGATTTTTTATGTGAAAGATGGATCCCACGTTAGGCTATGACATCCGTTTTGTGTTTACATTACCGCCCAGAGACAGTACACTTCAGTACAAAAGTTGGCTTGGTTGACTGTATCAAAGTCAGGGTTTACTACAAAAATGCTAGAAAATGACTGCCAGCTCTATTTAATTATTTGTAGGCTGCTAGCGGGTTCTTTACGTACTTTGTTATCATGGCCGAAAATGGATTCTGGCCAAGTAGACTGCTTGGTCTGAGGTCGGTACATATATAATATAAAGTAGTCATCTATGTTTGTTTGTTTATTAATATTCCCGATCATAACTCATGAATCTCTTGACCGATTTGCCTCAGATTTTGGTTGGTGAACCCGGGATAACCACGGTAATGTTCTTAGCTTGGTTTGAGATTCTAAGTCGAGCACCAAGCGCGGGTAAACGGCGGGAGTTACGATGAGTATTCTAGGCAACGCCCATGGGTTTTCAAGCTATTATGTATAGAATGGGACCCATAAAATAATATGACGACAGTTAGATAAGGATTTCAATAATTCTAATAAACCTGAAATACAGCAATTGTGCCACAGTCCCTTATTGGTTTGGTTTTTAAGCCTTATTTGCTGTATAACAACATCTAAAACACATAGTATTGATAAAATACCGTCATCTTGTTTTATAGGTCTCACTGTGAATTAAGTTGTTTTATAGGACAATATTAATCTATGCTAACCTTATTCCTACTGGGGATTTTGCGTTTTTGAAAAAAAAAATTGGGATAGAAAATTTTTATTATACTTTTTGAGTTAATGTTCGCGCTGTCATTATAAACAAACGGCTCGACTAAATAAAAATTCTTTGTTTTAAACTCATAGGTAAATAAAGGTCATGATTGACAAAAAAAAAATTTAAAAATTAATCTAAAAAATCATATCGAGGTCTTGTACCTTTTTTTTAGAGGAGCTTTCAACAAAAATTTTCGGGTTTTAATCTGCCTGTAAATCATCTATCTGGAGCAAAATATCGGCCTGTAACTCATCTATTATTATTATTATTGTTATTGTTATTGTTATTGTTATTGTTATTGTTATTGTTATTGTTATTGTTATTGTTATTGTTATTGTTATTGTTATTGTTATTTAGGAGATCTCTTGAGTATACATGTCAGGCCGGATTCCTTTTCTCCGTTGTAGTTGTACAATGGGCAGCTGTTATACAGGTATTTTATACTGTATATACTGTACAGCTCGCGCCAAAAAAAATTCAAATTTCAACGATGTAGGAAAAATGCAACAAAAAATACTAACACAATTTTTTCTTTCAATTAGGCAATTCTCTGACAAGTATCTATTATTTTATTATTTAAAGGGACCGTTCACTTATTTGGGTAATTTCAGGGTAAACTAAACAGCCTATTCGCTATTGATTGGTAATAGTCTTACTTTTCAAAGACAACTGTTGCCGGAGAGAAAGCCGATTTTTCGTTCAGAATTTGAGCGGAAAGGGACGGTCTCTCTCTATAGACACTATTTAATGTTTTTTTTTCAGTAACAGCAGCCCAATAACATTTAAATTTATTATGTTTTAATGTCATTATTTGTTCGTTATTATGTACTAAAATCTGAAAACTTTTGATATTTGAGTTAGCAAGAAATTTACGTTTTACGTATTAAAACATGTAAAATGTGTTTACAAAGACGAAGTCTCTACGACAATCAATTAATCATTACTCGTATTTTGGTTCGTAGATTTTGTATATTTTTTTCCCGTATGTGCACAACTTTTCATTTGTCATGCCGCGTTCAATTCAGCTTTTTACACAGGCAATAAACAATTTTGAATGCGATAAAATAGTGTTATTTTAGAAATAGAAAGTTAAAAAACAAAAAAATTTAAAAATAATGACATTTACAATTAACGATTAGATACTACAGTCTAATTTTATATTCGAAATTTATTTTGATTCACAACATGCTGAAAAAAATATCAATTAGTGTCTATAGAGAGGGACCGTCCTTTTCCGCTCGAAATAAGTGAACGGTCCCTTTAAAGATTAAAAAGTTCAGAGAAAAAATCTTTTTTTGGGACCCTTGAAGTTTTGGCAATTTTTTTTATTCTATGCGACGACAGTAACAATTAAAATGAACCGTGTAAAGCTTGAGTTTGAAGAAAAAATGTAGCGAATTGGTATAATTTGTAAGGTAGACAAAATAACTTAAACACAGGGACCCCATCAAATACTTTATTTGAGATTATTATAATTATTTTTTTTATTAATTGTCTACGAATTAGTTTCTCCAATGAGGTAAAAATATGACTTTATGACCTGATAGTTGTTTTAGTTTTGATTTTATAAGAAAAGGATAATTATCTGGTTATATATCAGAAATTTTAAACATTTTTGTTCTTCTCAATGATTTAATAATAAGAGGAGTTATGATTAAAAGCATTTAAGATTTCATGTATATATATATACCTCTCCTTGGTTCTTATCTCGACAAGAACACATCTATAAATCATGTCTACGGCCATATATTTACCCCTCTAGTATGCCGAGTCCATTAGCGCCTGATCCAATCAGGGTTCAGTCATGTGTTTATTGTCTATTCTAAACCATTGCATGGCGGTAACATCTATCTTTCTATCTATCTCATTATCCAATAAGAGATAAATCCTTATATCGGCGCTATGGCAGTAAATATTTACTGCCATAAATATTTACTTTTTCTGAAACTATAGTGTTACATACATAGATAAAGATAAAGGGGGTGAACCATAGATAAAGATAGATTGCGCATAAGACGACATTTTTCATCTTGAAAGATAAAAATGTTTTAAAGATATTCCTATTATATAGATTAACTAGGTCGGTTGTGAACATTGGCTGTTCTTATGTCATTGAGTACTTGTGGTGTACATGAGTTCTGTAGAGAGAAATTTAAGTTAGTTTAGTCATGAAATCCATTTAAACTCCAAATCACCCCGCTTATCATTGAAGTACACTATGACCCCTAGAAGTATGAGTTCGCGGACTATACAATTCTTGGTGATTTTACGTACATAAGCTGTCTATGTTTATTTATTTATCTATGGTTACATGGCACATTACAATGTTGCTGTAATCAACTATTTGATTAGGCACGAAGCAGACGATTATCAATATTCTCTCGACCCTTGAACAATTGGATCCTTAATTTCTCTCTCTTCTTCGAGACTCTCCTGGCTATTCTAGTAATATACATACCAGGAACTGAACAGGTAACAAATTATTACTTTGCGCTGCTTGCCGCTGAAAATTTCTTGCGTATTTTTAATTTCCAAGTAAATTCTTCTTTGTTCTAATTTTTAACATGTTGATTATATATAAGCTTCAAATCTACTTATCTATCTATCTATCTATCTATCTATCTATCTATCTATCTATCTAGGGCCTTCAACTGGCCCCTATATGTGGCGTTGTAGCCAAAATTGAGGCCTATTGTAATTTACGCCATACCTTGTTTATAGAGTAATTACGCAAATCCTGTATTGCGATTAACCCATTCCATGTATGTAGATATGTATATATAACTCCGTCATACCCATATTGTGATTGTTAACTATGTTATATACATATATATAACAGCCAAAGGCGTATACAGGGAGGGCAAGGGGGCAGTGCCCCCCTCTAGACCTGTATGGGGGGAGGTGTAGCCCCCCTAGGACTCAGGGCTTTCACACTTTTCAAATCTTAAACTCAAGAGTGAAAAACATAACAAAAATTAGTTTGCTGTTCATTCAGTGCACTAAGAAGAATGTATACGTGGAGCAGAGCCACCATGACAGAAGTCCGAATGAAAAATCTATTTTGAATGCACATTCATCCTAATCGGATGGGCGCTATCATTAGGGATAGCGAAGTAAAACAATTATTTTTAAATATCAAGCCACGAAGGCTTGAGTTTGGAGGTAGTAAAAGACCATTTTTTGTTTATTTAATTTGGATTAATTTTCTTCATTTATTGCACCGCCATTTTGTAATCTTTCTTTTCATTACGCACTAGCTGAAGTGCCAGGCGTTGCCCACGGAAATTTAAAAATCGAATTAAAACAAAAAAACTTATAATTTTTTAGCCTATGTCATCCCCAAAGGTATCCATGAGTTTCCTCACTAAAATTCAGTTCATTTGATTCAGTCGTTTGGCCAGCCATAGCAAACTTATAAATGAACCAAGAGCTTTATTATATAGATTACAATTGTACTCCAACTTTTTTCAAAACAGAAACTTTTTCAAGTAATAATTTTTTTCTGGACCTTTGTCCTTTTTTTCATCTCATAGAATTCTAATATTAACTATACGAAATACACCTCAGTTGATATAACTCCGTACTGTTTACTGCGAGAGAGTAAACCTGAAACCTTGCCTTTATATTCAGGTTGATGTGGCATTTAGAGCGGATCGTCCCCATCATTTGGGATCGACATATAGCTTGTTTGATAGCTAGGCTTGTGTCCTTGTGAGTCATTTAGAGCGGATTGCCCCATTATTTATGCATATAACTGATTGATAGCTAGGCTTGTGTCCCTGTGTGGCATTTAGAGCACTGTATTAGTAGCTGGATTTTGATAGCTACGCTTGTGGTCCTTTGTGGCATTTAGATCCTGGGATTCAGTACTGGTTGAGTTTGTTAGCAGACGGACCTGGATAGATACTTTTCGTAAATTGTTATGGAGTAGGTGTTTACTACAGCGTATCTATATTCTATCGATCTATCTATCATTTAACTATCTATCAATCTATCTATCAAACTTTCTATCAATTTATAAATCTATCTTATCTATTAATCTAAATATCTATATATGTATATTTATCTATCTATCTAGGGCCTGCAACTGGCCCCTATGTGGCCGATCTGGTGGTTACCTGGTCTGGCCTTCTCCATGATATTGATCGCCTACGAAGAGCTGAGAAAAGCGATCATCAGAAAACACAAAGGATCGTGGATAGACAAGGAGACAAGATTCTAATGGATAATTTTATATCATTCAGTGAGACCCATAAAACTGTGGAGTAGGAAGATGATTTTTTAGCAATTTCATTTATATTGTACTAAACATTGGATGTATTTAATGTTATTGGACTAATTCATAAAATTCGTCTTTATATTTTATAGTTATATGGGTCTCTTTGTACAGAAACCAGTTTTGATATTATAGAAGAAGACTTTAAACAGATTTACTCCTGTTTTTAGTCAGAAAAATCAAAAGGCTTGAATTTTCAGTTTTTTTTTAAGAATTTAACTTTACTTTACTTTTAAATTAAACAAAAAATCTGAACATTTAGCAGTGAATGTACTCTGACGTAATTTGACCTGAACAAAACCACAATTTGACCAAATTCCACAGCTGTATATAACTAATTGTTAAGTATAGTTCACAATCTCTATATTTTTATACTCTTACAGTAGTCCCCCAGAATATAATGAAATAGGAAGACGAGTTTCAATCATAGTAACTTTTTGGATTGATATGAAATCATACATCAAGGTAAATATCCTGAATTGCCCTCTCTTGTCGATTTTATACATAAATTTCGTCAAGACATTGATGCTTACATGGCTAAAAACTATAAAGGTTTAAAATACGATTTTGCACAAATTAACGAATCTGATGGTGAGAATGGAACAGGTGGTAATAACTCATTTTCAACCTTAGTTAAAATGTTCTAAATGCAATGAAAGCAATCATTCCACTGAAAGATGATTTAAAACAAAAACATGTGGAAATTGTATTGTCATGGAACATATTGCAAGATATTGTTAGCAAGAGAAAAAATGCGGAAAATCTGGACAATCTCTTGCTAACTTTTTCATTCGCTGTAGGTTGTGTAATAGCCCATCTCATGAAGCCGTAACTATAGCCCATCTCATGAAGCCGTAACTTGTAATATTTATCCCGGCATCGAGCTTGCACAAGCAGCCTGTACTAAATCATAAGATTATATCATCCAACAAACAAATGCAAAACTTATAGAAGGTACTCTAAGGCTACAGGCGTGCAACTAGGGGGGGGGGCAAGACCCCCCTAGGCTGATTAAGGCCGAGCATGCACCTCTCTTAAAAAGGCTTGCCCCCCCTGTAGGGGGGGGGGGGGTAGGCCAAGAAGTCCACCCTGTTTTACAATATAGCGATTCTTGAAACATGACCCTGAGCAAATTTAAGAGCTCTGACCGTAAAATAAAAAATATATAATTGAACGTTAGTTTATAGTTCAAATTAGTAAATTAATCCTACATGTTCATTGCAAATATTGTGTGATGTGTCATATTAAAAAAAAATATTTTTCATGTAAAATCATGATTTTTTAATGAAAGGCATTTCTTGTCAGTGTCTGAGTACGATTTATGGATGAATAATGAATATATATATAAATGTAAATTGTAAATTAATTATTATCGTGATTTACATTAACCAGAATAGATTTCTTTTTTTTTTATTTCAGGTAACACATATTAATTAAATAAACTAAAATGTATGTTTCTCTAAAAAAATGTTAAACACCTTCAAACTTTTACATCCTGATCTCTAGATGTTTAAATTACTATCTTGGCATAGCAACGAAAAATATAGTTTGTTTTATATCATGCATTTCAACATACTCCCAGACCCAGACGTCTATATCTTTGTAAACCACTTTTTATCTAAAGTTCAACTCAGTCAACTAGGCCGCGCGCCAGACCAATCCTTTACCAGCTTTTTACATACAATTCTGTACCAACCAATGAAACCATGTATATCAAGGAATTTTGTTATCTATAGTATTGTATTCTTTATATATATGTGCGCAAATGCAACCCTTTTAGTATAAAAACTATGTATGTTATATGTATTATCACTCTATAATGGAACTTCACACTGTACACTCTATTCTCTACCTTTGTGAAATATATTCTGACAGATAAAAGTAAGTCCTTTAATATAGTTTTTTCGTATAGAGTCTATAGTCGGAAATTGTCCATCTTTGGGAGTGTTGTAAAAAGGAATGTTACAGTATTGCAAATAAATCTCTAGAAACATACCCTGGGAACATTAGCGTAAATTCAGAGTTTTTTAGCTCTCCGCATTGCTTAAGCTTTGCGTTGCTATTGTCTTAACTACAGACAGTTTTTGGGAAAAGTTTCAGAGTAACAACATATAAGACATTTTAACCTAAAACATTCATATTTACATCACTCTAGAATTTGGATTTTTTTCTGATTATATAAGATATATTAAAGCTTCATTTCTAGTAAAAAATATCACACCTAAAAAGCCCATTTTTATGGCAAATTTAAGAACTTTAAAACCTAGAAATTGTAGCAAATGGCGAGGCGTGTCCTAAAGAACCTTTGTAATTAAGTTTTTTGTTCAATTTGAAGGGGGGGAAGGTTTATCCCTGTTTATCCTATTAAATTGATTAAATTAAACTGTATTGAAAACAAACTTAACACGTAGTAACAAAGATATAAAATACTTATATACGTATATCATTGTACTCATTATATCTTGTACTTCTCAACATTTGTATTTTGTACTTTGTACTAAGATTAGGTTATATACTGTGTAGGGAAAGTAAGAACGAATTCAACCTTTAAACTAACCCTGAGGCAGTTACAGTCTAGACAGGCAGTTACGGTCTAGACAGGCAGTTACAGTCTAGACAGGCAGTTACAGTCTAGACAGGTTTCAAATTGAGTGAAAACTTCGAGGGACAAAATAAACTAAGGCTAAAGTCCAACAAAAATATTTTTAAACAAACTTAAATAAGGCTAAATAAGATGGCTGAAAGCAAAATTAGATCTAAATCTATTGGAAGGGCCCCGTCAAGGAATTTAAAATCACTAGATGCTTTCAAGTCTAAAGTTTTGACACATGTTGGAAAAGAATATTTAAATGTGGAATCAGATGAAGAAGAACCAATAGATATTGCAGTAGTAGATTGCAAAGTTAAAAAAATGAGTACATTGGGTGAATTAAGCTCAGAACTAGAGAAGAAAAAAATAGATGGCGATAATTTAGACAGGATTATGAAGGAACTCTTTACTCACTACAATACTGAACAAGACAAGATTGACTATATTGTTTCTGAACGATTTTTAATGTTAAATACATGTAGAAATCATAAAGACTTGTACCCGCCAATCAACTTAAAAACAACTAATAAAACTGTCGACCTTGACAAGCTAAACAAACTTCAGAGAGTGTTCCAAAATATTCCTATTTTTACAAATAACGAGAATTATACAATTAGGGAACTTTTGAATGGTATGAACAACATTGTTGAAAATCTGGGTTTTCAAATTTCTGAATCTGAATATGAGCTGATTTTAAATCAAAAACTTTCTCCAAGAGTGAAAAGCGCCGTTAGAGGATATAAGCATGACAATTTAAAGGGACTGTTTGCAAATCTTTTGAATATCTATGATTCCTCTGAAAGTCACCATGAAGCATTTTCAGCTCTAGTCAGTCAGAAGAATAAATTTAATAATGACTTTATGGAGGAAAATCTTAGACTTTTGTCATTGTCTAGAAAGAATTCTGACCAACAATCCCAATTGTTTGTGCATTCAGTACAGCATATTTTACCTAAACGATTTTTTGAAAAACTTCTTGAATTTTTGGATTCATATGAAATTATCAATAAAGGAAAATATCCTGAATTACCAACACTTATTGATTTCATTTATAAATTCAAGTCCGAGGTTGATGCGCATATGGAAACAAATTATAAAGGTCAAAAATATAACTTTGCGCAAACTAATGAGTCTGAAGATGAAGATGAAACAAGTGGCAACAATTCTTTTTCGTCCCAAAAATGTTCTATTTGTAATAAAAACAATCATTCTACAGAAAAATGTTTCAAAACAAAACAATGTAACAAATGTGGAAAATCGGGACACACTGTTACTACTTGTTTTATCCGCTGCAGATTATGCAATAGCCCGGCCCATAACGCAGTAAACTGCAATATTTACTCCGGAATTGAGCCAGCACAAATAGCTTGCACTAACTTAAAGTCACTATTTATCAAATTATACCACCCAACAAACAAATGTAAGATACAAAAAAACTGAATGTACTCCAATGTAATAAAAATGCAACTATAGTAGATATTCATATATAGACAATACTAATATATGTGAGATAGAAGACTTAGATTGAAATAAAACAATCAATTTCCGTAGCTTTAACCTTAACAGGTCAATAGTCCAAAAACCCTATATTAACGAGGTTACAGTCCTTTTAGTCCTAAATAATGTAAAATTGTATATCGTATATTGTACAATATTGTCCTGTAAAGGATTGAGATGTATATCGTATATTGTACAATATTGTCCATGCAGATAATTTATTATTTATTCTTTCCGTAAGTGTTTTACATTCCTCACTCACAGATCTGCAGAGTCATCAAAATTTTATTGAATTATAATTTATTTATTCAATTGTTTAGAATTATAATTAAATTTTTTCAAAGGATAGTTCGTGAAGTCATTAATTATTTTTTAAGGGATGGTGAAATTAGTTTTAAAATTTTTGTTCTTGTTCAAAAATATAATTCCAAAACATTTTGTGGAAACAGAAAATAAATATAAAGACATTTTGGATGATGAGATAAATAAGTTTAATGATCGCAGATTGAGAAATTTAAGATTAAGATTAATAAAGTCGAGACTAAGCTTAAAACTAATGATTATGTCGTTATTAAAGCATACGGAGACATTATATAGGGGTATCTCGTAAACTAAAATTAGTCTATGAAAAAATTCCATACAGAATTTTGAGCATTAAATATTTCAATGTCACTCTTGAGAATATTTTGAATGGGAGTCAAGTACTCAGAGCTGTCGATGATATAAAAAAATCGTTATTATAGATAATAATGAAGAAAATTTTTAAAATGTTCCTAAAGAGGTGTTTAAAATGCTAAACGTTTTAACTTATGAAAATATTAAAGAAATATTTGAAAACAAAAAAGATGAAAATCCTAAG